CTGAAAACTTGATTTGTTGCTCACTGCAGAGCTGGGAGAATTTTCATGATCATTTCATTCTAAGTCAAAAGATAAAAAGAGGCAGGGTACCAATGCTTGTTTCTATTATTCTATGTCATGGTTAGTCTGGTAGGTTAATTGTAGCAACTGGACTTGCTTCAGTTCCTTGAAGACGTTTCACCTCTCATCCGAGAGGCTTCATCAGTTCTGACTGACGAGTTGGGAGTTCCAGATACTTTTATCCTAAAGGAGCCATTAACACCTGAGAGTCCAGAATAACCATGACCTGGATGACTGAGAATCTTCATAGATATGTCATGTGTTGTTTTTGAAACTAATATATTTTATAATAGTGATTCTCAAAGTAGGTTTTAGAAAAAAACATGCTGAACAAAAACAAGATTTGGGCTTTAGATTGTGACACCTGGAGTGTGTATAAATTTAATTTGGTTGCAGTTTTTAACAGAGTCTAAATGTGTTTTCAGCTCTGAAAATGTAATGAGTCTGTCTCCTGAACCTATAAAGTTATGAGGGCTCAATAATGCTTGAAAAATAGTTGCAAAACATAAAAGTTAAACACAAACTTACGTATTTCAAGGTTCTTTACATCTGAAGATATTCTTAAGAAGGTAAAGTTGTGCATGTCTTCATTAAATGTACTCAAGGTTTTATACATAGAAAAAACAGCTGATTATGAGGGGGTAGAGAGAAGGCACTGACTGATTTTGGAAGGACCAAGAAATCTCCTACAGCACCAATACAACCCTCCCAGCACAGCTGGAGCATCCACATGACATTGTACTGCAGTTAGCTTATGTTGTCTGTTCTTTCTCAGACGCTTCATGGCGGGACAGTAAAACTGCTTCGACAGTTCAACTCAGGGGGACAAATACACAATGGAATAAAATGAGTGTTAAAGGAAACCATGAGCAAGATCCTGGTGTTCCTGACTTGATACACCTTTTCCAGTCTTAGACACTGCAGCTCCTCCACTGTAAAAACAGCCATTTAGTCTTTGGATCAGAGCTACAGCCCCACCTCTCAGGAGCAGTAATGATCGTCCACATGAACGTTGGATCATTCTGGCTGGTTACTGACACAGAATGTGAGGTGTGCTCTCTGCTGTAGTTTTGGGTCAAAGGAGAAATCATAACTGTGCACCTGCCAGCAGTCACACAGACATGTGGAACAGGTCCTCAGGTCCTGATGTCTCAGGTGTGATGCAGTCTGCTGACTCGTAACAGTTAAAGCTTGCAAGTGTGATACATGTGTCACCATGAGGCACAACACAAACAGTTTGGGATTTTTAGTTCGCACCTCATAGTATATATGCAAAATGAAATGTTTACCTAACTAGTCTGAAAATAAAACTCTTAATTTAAGCAGTTAAATAATGTGAATGAACAATTCATTTACCTGAGCTGTGAGATATAAGGCAGACACTGCAGGAAACTCCTCACTTCACTCTCTTCATGAGACCAGCCTGTCAGCTTCAATTGTTTCTTCTCTGATTGGAGTTTCAGCACTTCCAGGAGGATGGAGGCCTTTATCTTTGAGAGGTTTATGAACCAGACTGCAGGACCAGACTGGAAAACTGACTGTAATGATGAAAGGACTCTCAAATCGGTTGTAGGCTCATGGGTGTACATGTCTAGTAGGAAATCACACCATTTCCATTGAAGAGGAATTGATTTGTATGTGCACACTGATGATAGCAGGTCCAGTATCTTCTCTCCTGTCTGCTGTTCTCTCTCTGCTGCTGCACAAAACAGATTCCTAAAGAACCTGGTTTCTTCTGAAGTTTCTGACAGCTGAGGGATGAAACTGAAACTACGAAGATTAAAAAGAATGTGATTTATGCCTTTAAAAAAAAAAAACTGTAGCATTAAATTTGCTGTGATAGAATGATCTGCAAACAAAAACACTAAAAATATATGAGAATGTTACGAATTAAAACCAAGATCACAAAACGATATTTATTTACCTGAGCTGTGAGATATAAGGCAGACACTGCAGGAAACTCCTCACTTCACTCTCTTCATCTGACCAGCCTGTCAGCTTCACTTGTTTC